CCAGTATCTATAGTTCTGAACAGTTAATGTGGAATAAATAAAAGCCTGAATTTTTATTACTTTTACTATCTATGAATAAATAGACTATCGTGTATATACACACAATATCCACATGTTAAATCACACACAAAGACACACAGACAGGTTATTTCTATCTTTGATCTTTGGATACAAGGCACTTTGGTTCAGTCCCGCCACACATTTAATTCCTGCTCCCCTACATACTCAAAAGCACTTGAAATCAGACACTGCATGTGTTGATCTGCCTTTTAATACTGCTCCCAAGAAATAAATATTTTCCTGGTTTGAGTCCAGGTGTTTCATTTATTGCGTCTGTATTGAAAGGGAATGTTTTGAGGTGTTTTTCAGCCAGTGCAGGTACATCACCTGGATGAAATGCATTATATGGCCCTAACCAAACAAATGCGCGACAGTAGGAAAGAAATCCTCTTTGTATATTTTACATTTTTCACCTGTATATTGGTCAGTGTTATGATCGTTCTGCTCATAGACATTAAACTAGGGTGGAAAGAAAAATGCCAAACAGAGCATCTTGTCCCCTTCAGCTCATTTCAGCAGTAATGTGCATAATACTGGAAATCGTCCTGCCTACTTCAGAGAAATGCTGATCTCTCATCTGAAATTATCAGCCCTGATCTACACTGAGGATGATGAAAATCTCATCTTACTCTACACAAATCGTTTAAATGAAAGGAAAATAAGGTAATGGCAAACAATCTAACTGAAATCATAAAAATGTATGAAAAAAAATCAAACACAGACTTTCAGCTCACCACCACGATTGTAAAAAGCTAAAAACTTCCTCTTCAGCTTGTAATGGCTTGAATATTTAGTAAAATTACCATCCATTTATATCACATTGACCTTCAAGTGATATAAAATTCATCATATGTCTGTGTCTGCTTCAGGATATGTACTGTATTTGGGTGTTACTGTTACTTGTATTTTGTGGAGGTCACACCCTTCTTGCCGTGGCCGGTGTTTAGCAGCGTGTCTGTGTGTTTCAGCAGGGACTTCAGGGCTGGAATAAATTATTCAGCTGTGGTGGATTCCTCTCGGGTGGATGGAAGTAAAAGAAGAGCATCTTCTCCTTCCAGCCGCTGACCCACTCAGTGCCATCAGCAGCTCCCAGCGTGCAGCCGGGACGCTTTAATTATTCATTCTTATAACTCAGTGAAAGGTATACGGAGGCCTTCAGCTCTCTGCTTCTGCCTCTTCATCACTCTCTCTTTCCCCTCTCTGCCACCATCACATGCTGTCCCTCTGAGCCAATAAAAGCCCAGTGTTTTCCAGTTTAAAAAATAAATAAATAAATACAATTCATTTTAGAGATTTAATTGGAATTAAAACATTGAAAAGTAGTCAAATAAACAAGAGAAGAAATAGGACCTTTGTCTGTATTAGCTGCCAGTCAAGTACTATAAAGAGCCTGTTGCACTGTACAGGGAACTATTAGGCACATTTCCAGCTCCATGTTTGTATTGTTGGACTCCAGGGTAGCTTTGCATGATTCTCAGTGCAGCCCCCCCAATGTTTAAAAGTAGCTGTTTTAAGTCCTCTCCCTTTAACACCACTTAAAGGGTCTTATTACTGATTGGCTCCCCCTCGTGAGCAGGTAAAAGGCTTGAATAGCAGGTGGGTGGGGCTTCTTGGTTCCAAGCCAGAGCTGTGTGCCTCAGCAGACCACATTAGGGTCCCTATGACATCATGCAGAGATGTTTTATCGCTGACAATAAACCCGTTTCCTGATCACTTTTCACAAGATGATAGCAAACTAAAAAACAAACTACCAGGCTAATTAACAAAATTTTAGGAATAAGCCAGAGTGACATTTGAGAAGATTACTAGAGCCACAAAGGCCCAAAGCTATTTGTACCCTGTTTGTTAAACATTCCTGAAATTATAAGACTTTTTTTTTCTCATTTATATATTTTGTTAAACGGGGTGTGGTCTTGTGTCTTTAATGTATGGAAGCTTGTTTCTGTCACTGAAAATAACCAAAATAAAAACAATTTTCTGCCATCTATAGGTGAAAATTTCAGGTTATCTTAATGTTAAAGTTTTAGTTAGTAACAATTATTTTCAGGTACCCAACATGTAATTTTAATATAATAACCAAACAATTTGACTTGATGGAGCGCAGACCCATCAAAACTGAGAAAACTGAGTATTCAGTTCAATTAACACAAACGTTTTCTTCCTTCTCACTCTCATTTAGGTCCTTTGCGTAAATGGATGCCCCAGACAAATGTGTCATTTGTACATGGATGTTTTGGACCCGGAGGTCAGCATATTTGGATGTGGAGTATATAAATATAATGAGAAACCAGAGCTCCCCCTTACATTTACCAACATTTCACCAGTTTATGAATAAGTGATACTGGACACTTAATGAAAAAACGTACATTTATTATTTAGGGATGTTACATCGAGAGAATTTTGGGAGTATTATCCATCCCGTCTATGGAATGTGAGGGAAAAGCACAAGCCTGCGTTGAAAAGAAAACCTTAATTAGGACTGTTCACAACATAAATTCTGCTTTCCGTCATCGCTTGTTAAAAGAGTGTATTTTAATATAATTGTTATCCTGGCTTCCTGTTTGCTTCCATAGCAGGATGTGGAGCAAAAGATCAATAAATTACTTAAGAGCCCTTTTAGCAAAACTGAATTTACAGGTTAGGTGAGTTTAGTCAGGGTATTTCTAGTAACCATATGTGCTCCTCAATTCTTTTTAGAAATATATGTAAATATCAGTTCTTTGTGTTTATTCTTTATTTTTTAGTTGGACCTGGTTAATGTAGATATTTAGTTTCTCATTTGGTTATCCAGATACTCACCTGAGGCAGGTAGAGTATAAAAGGAAGTCAGCTGCTTTCAGAGGGGTCGGTGTGTGTTGGTGAACTCCTGCTTTAATAATACAGGCTATAGGTTGGTGAATTCAGCCTCATGCTTTGTTTAAACCTGAAGCTACTGCTGGCCAAACTGATTTTAAGTATCTGCTAACTCTAACTAACCTGATGAGCCAATTACATCCATAAGTTATAATGGTGTAGAAACACATATCTGTAAACTAGTGCTAAATACTAGTGGCCTCTGCTGGCACTCCTCTCCCTCAGAGTGTCTACACCCCTGACTTGAGTTTTTTGCCCATAAGGATGGGTTACACACACACAAGGAAACGATCTAAAGGCCTGAACTGCTCTCAGTCTTCTTCTTCTTCTTCTTCTCTCAGCTCCTTCCTTTCCGACTCACCAGAGTAAATCATCTGCCTCAATCTCACCCTATCCCTAGCAGCCTCCTCTGCCACACAGACCCTCTCAATGCCCCCCTTCACTACTTCCATGAATCTTCTTTGTGGGCTTCTTTTCCTCCTGCCTGGAAGGTCCACATTCATCATTGTTTGTCCAATATTACCGCAATCCCTGCTCTGCACATGTCTAAACCATCTTAGCCTTGCCTCTTTAACTTAGTCTCCAAACGAATCAACCTGAGCCGTCCTTCTGAAACACTCTTCTAATCCTGTCCAGATGCCGGAAACTCCCTTTTGCAGTCAGTCTGAAGTATTCATACAAGAAACTGGTACGCTGGTGTTGTTGCTGTTTTTTTTCCTTCTTCTTTTTTTCAAGTTCTTGAGGTCACCACTTGGGTCAGATATGGTGTGTAGCAGCTTGAATCCCCAGTGTGACTCCAGTGAGCTTGACCTTTACTGTTCTATCTAAATAAGGGCAAAATGTCCAAAAAATAATCTCTTTACAGTGACTGACTCTGCCAGGGGTAGATAAAACAGCAGATTCGATCCTGCAGACCTTTAAATAAACTAGTGGGGGTAGTAGTAATGGTCTCTGACTTGCACAATAACCTGGGAAACAAGAGTAAGATGGCACAACGTGATGCAAGAGGATTTGACTTCTGGGAGGACACAATCTTCTTATTCGCATTCTCTCTTGTGTGCGTCCCACCCTGACCCGCTGTAACCCTGTGGTCTGCACCGTAATCCACACGCACACGGTTCAGGATGGCATGTTTGCCAAGAACGCAAACTTGGGTCTAACGAAACAGCGCACAATCCATCGTGTGCTACAGCTAACCTCTGTCATGGAGAGATACAAGAAAAGAGGCGGTCTTGGAAATACACATTCATATTTATTACCATTTAGTATTTACATAGGACTATAGCTCGTTAAGACTTTTTTTGACATAGACTTTTCATTTAAAACATTCATGTTTTCCACAATCCCTTTTTCTTGTCAAAAGAAAAGGTTTTTCCTATCCAGTAGTAACAACTGTACAAAGCCAGCCTGATAAGTACAATAATTTACTTAAAAACATCTTATTTTCATCAATGCAAATCATGTGACAACAAAACAGTCCCCTCCCCCAAACAGCTGAGCTGAGCAATCACAAATGACTATAGCTCTTTATGTACATGCACTAAAGTGCTAGTATTCAAAAGGCATGCAAATATTTGACCCATATTTATACTGCCTTCCAAATATGCATAAGGTTATTATGTTTGTTGTCACCCATCTTCTACATGTCTACAGAGTCAAACATTCATCTCAACGTAAAAATAAAGACGGACACGAGCATCAGAAATGACATCATGTGTCTCCGCTTCAGACCCGGTGAAGCAGAAGTTGTTTTTTTGTTTGTTTGTTTGTTTGCTTCCTTGTTTTTGTTGTCTTTCCTCTCCTTGAAGGTAAACAGAAAAGTAAAGTGAAGCTTTAAAGGCTGGCAAAACAAAAATAAATTAAAAAAAGGATTTAAAAAAAGTTTGCATGAATGTTTATGGGACAGCGATGAAGAAAAATAAAAATGTAAACACAGGAGGAGTTTTAACCTGAAAAATAGGTTCAGATACACACACACACACACACACACACACACACACACACACACACACACACACACACACGTGGGTGATGGTTAACTCAAGTATACAGGCACCTCTTATGGAAACTTATTTTTCTATGTTGTCTTTAAATACAGTACATTCCAGGTTCCTCTTAAAAAAAAAAAAAAAAAAAAAAGGTTCTGGTTCCTTGATGGTCAGCTGGTGCTACTGGTTAGATCCCAACCCCTCTCTCAGGCTCCTCTAGAGGGAGTCCATATGTTTGGAGGGGGTTTTCTGAGGTACTGGGTCTGTTTAGGCAGAGGTGGAGGAGGAGGTAGAGGACGGCTTTACGGCGGCTCCTCACCCTCCAGGATGGTCTTCCGGTGTCCCGGCGGCGGGAAGGTGAACCTCCTCTTCGAGCCCTCGCTCCACTTTGGGGAGGAGGAGGGGGAGCGTGCGGCCCAGCGCGAGGGGGGTCGGCGGTTGGCCGGGCGCGCCGGTCTCAGGAAGCAGGAATCCAGAGGCGGAGCCACCGGAGAGCGAGGCAGGTCCTGCCAACGACAAGGAGCTGTCAGAGAGGAGCAACGGGGCGCCTGCAGCCATTTGCCACCGAGGAAAACAGGAAGTGAGGAGATTCATACAGAAAGATGAAGGGGAGCGAGTGAAAGAAAGCGAGCAAAGGTGCTGATGTAGAAGTGACGTGCACATGAAACAAAAATAAGGAGCAATGTAATGAAGGAATTTTAAACGAAAGCCATTTCATGAGGAACTTTTATGTTTTCACTTGTTTCTTACTTTATTCTTGTTGCAGTTTTCTTTCAGTGGATATAAGAACGTCAACCCCTAACATACTGCTCCTAATGCAGTTTTTAGTCTGACCTGTTCTGCCTGCCTTATCTGAAAGGATTTAACTTAAAACTAATTTTGTTTGCTTGAAGCTGGAGCAAAAACCAGCAGGTCAGCCTTTAAATAAGTTAAATAAGTGACAGACGTTTAACCTTCTCACCTAACAGGAATGTGCAATCTGGTGAAAAAGGCAAACAAACCAAGAAAAAAAAAGGTTACATAGTTACTGCAGACATTTAGCTACGGAAGCAGACAAGAGTCAATTTGAGCAGCTGTTTCAACCTTCCCTCTGCCACTTAATAGCACTCAGTTACTCAGGGGACACAGCAGCTAATGACCCACACCTGCTACCACCATCACTGGTTGAGCGAGCAGTGCAAGCGCCTAACATCACTTCATTTGACACATTTTAAAGAAGCTTCTGTTCAGTGATTTGTTATATTTGGCTGGTACACTGGCAAAACACAAATGGTATCACAGATATAATTTAAGAATTCTCCGCAATCAAGCATCATAACGTTTGAGTCTCTTGGTGTTTTAAAAACCGACTGAGAAACTGACAGACACAGTACGGTAGAGACTCATTAAGGGGAAAGTAAGGCCACCTTACTGCCCAGTCTATTTCCAGTCTAATGAGGGCTTTACTTTCCAAACTGAACATTATATTATATTCAGTAAAACTTAAAACCAGCAAATCTAAACTTATCAGAGAAGCATTTACTGGGGTCTTAGAGTACAGGAAGTGAAGGTCTATTTTCCCATAGACTCCTATTCAATGTAACTACTTTTTGCAACTGGAGAAGCCACCCCCTGCTGGCCATTAGAGAGAATACAGGCTTAAGACTGACAGGCTTTATAATGCAGAAAACATATACAGAAACACTGAAAAAGCCAAATCCACGGTTCAAAGAAATGTCTCAGGTACACTAGAGTAAAAATCAGATGCCAACCTCCACGTGGAAAAAAACAAGAAAACAAAACCAACTGGTTACCCAGAGGTTGACAATTCTTGTAGGTGACCACTTTCAGTTACGAGGTAACTGCACACAGGTTGCCTGGTAGGAGGCAAGCTGTCTTCAAATAATACATTTGTCCAAATAATCCTACTTGGACTGACTATAGTCGCTCACAGACTTAGCAAAGGTTAGCAAATAATTGCTGTCTAATTTATAAATGTAGACAGATTGCCAACATATTGCAGTCACTCTAATTCTGTGACAGGTCTCATGAGGAACTCAGCTGGTTGCCAACTGGTTGTGTTCTGGTCATATTCCTATAATATAATCAGAGCATTAAATCACTGGATTGTCCAACAGATGGCAAAAGATTTATCATTTTCCACATTAAAAAAAACAGAAACTTATAATCTTCTTTCATCTTGACATACAAAAACTGCTTTGAAAATGGCAGCTGACTGCGAGTGGTTGGATACCTGGTCCCGATCTTCAAAGCAACCATTTCAAAGGGAACAAGATCACACAAGTTCATTCCACAGAGCTGGCAATGTTATGGTGGCGCTGCTCAGACCACTGTTTTCCTGAGTATGACTGTGGCATAATTAGACCACAATTAGAAGTTTATTAGATTTAATTCAGAATTTTAAACCCTCACACAACCAACTCTGAAGTCATCTCAGTGTTTAAAGAAGTCCTAAACTGCAGATGAATGATCACTTGCGTGCCACAAATCTGCTATCAGAGGTCACTGCAGGCATCAGGTGATAGAAGTCCATAAATACATGCAGTCCATTTGTGCAATTTTGCATTGATTGTAACGTCTAAATATTTAAACCTGTTAAGTGCTTAATTGGCAACAAAGCTTTATGCATCTGTCCCCTGGATGAAAACAGAAAGTGTAGAAAAAAAGGCCACAAAAAACTCAAACTATGAGTGAGTTTGTTTTCCCCCCTTCGAGTGAAGTCAGAGCATGAATCGAGTGAACGATCACACCACTGGCCTGAAATATTAATAGCTCATCTCCAGGCATTAGATTTCACTTGAAGGATGGAGGACAAGAAGACCGAAAAGCAACAATCTAGTTCGGCTAAAAATACATGACAGTCAGGCTGCGGTGGTGTGAGAAGATGAACTGGAGGAAAAATAACCGGATGGATGGACACGTGGATGGAGGATGGACAGATGTGCTACACAATCTGCAGCAAGTCCTGCAGAAAAACAGGTCGTAGAGTTTGACAGGAGGCGTCTGCGCCAAACCATCAATAAATCATTAGTTTATGAATACAGCTGATGGGAATACAGACGATACTGCTTGTGCAAGATTTCCCATGTGACGCCAAAGCATCAGATCAAACAATCCCACAAGTCAGGCACCTGTATACAGGAAGTCAGTGTACACGAGTGGATATTAAAAAACAGCAAAGTCAACACCTGTACATGGACCACAGCTTCTAAGTTTTTGACCTTAAAAAAAGATCCACCTTAAAACCCTCCAGTGCAAGAATAAATAAAAATCAGTTTTAGATCAAATGTATGTCCATTAATTAGCCTGAAGTTACAGTATGACCTAAAATATCATCAGATTTTCACACAAGTTGATAAAAAAAGAGCCCAGATAAACAAATTAAATGAAAATCTTAAAGTCTGTCATTTATTTACTGAGGAAAACAGTCAAGTATTTAATATATGTGAGGGGGAAAATTATGTCAACCTTGAAAATAATCAGTAGTTAAAGCTGTTCAGTGGAATACTACCGTAATCAGGTACTCACATCCTGTGTTATCTAAGGAATCTGGTTTTTACAACTCATTTGTGGACGAGAATCGTGGTACGAGCAAAAGATTCCTGAGGACTTCAGAAAAAAAAGTTTTTGCTGCTCAACATCTCTAAGGATTTTGAAGTTATTCAGACAGATTGTGTACAAATGGAGGAATGTGAGGAGCATCGTTTCCCTCCACAGGAGAGGCCGACCAACGGTATTACTCAAGGAGCAATACAGCAGTCTGGGAGCCCACAAAGGTTCGTATACATTTGTCACTGATGATATCAGCTGTTGGGACTTGTGTAAAAATATGATGATTATTTGTTATTCTTACTGAGAAATGGAGAAATGTCTTAACACCCCTCTAAATTTAACCAAATGCTGCATTTCCTCCCTTTGTGCCAGGCCTGCTGTAAAGGCTCTGTATTTATATCCATGAAGGCATCTTGTTCAGTGTTCTCCACTTTGTTGGATGTTGCGAAGGAGATTTTTCACCACGGAAAGAATTCTGTGATCATTAGTTTATTTGTCTTTTTAAGAATGTTGATTTGGAAACTTCTGAAGGTATTTTTCACCTCTTCTGTTCCTATACGAGTGGTGACAGGACTGTAGTGAGTCTGATGTACCCTCAAGTGGCGATATAAGCGGCGGTTGTCACAACGAACGCAGTGACTATAAGCCAGGCTTACCGATGGCCACTGTTCTTTCAAAAGCATTTGAGAAATATCAGAAGTTACGACCTGCTAACACTTCGTTCCAACACGACATCTGAAATGACCAATATGACATGGTGAGAATAGACACACTTCCCTGCAGTTTCTAACAGTGGATTTTTTCCTTAAGCATGCACAGTGTACCAGAATATTTAGTTCATTTCTACCAGAAATGACACAAAACCAAGACAGTGCAGAGGAAATGGTGAGTGTTAGCAGCCCGTCTTCATTGGTTAATCTTTGTTAGTCTGAGAGGAAATGGTAAGAAGACGTAAGAAAGCGCTGTGTGGACAAACACGTGAGAAAAAAAAGTACAATATTACAAGAAAACATCACAGTCCGTCTAGCGGTGCACGTAAAAAGGAGGACCTGGTAGAAACACAGTGTTAGAATAATCCAGCAAGGCCTTATGAAGCCCGAACAGACAACAATCGACCTGTGAATGTGTGAAATGTCCAAGAGTCGTCTTTTATGTCATGTTCACTGGCAAACACTTTGGCAAAAATATTAAAATCCACCAGTGATCAAGACGTAAGCCGAAGACTCTTTGGGTTACATGAATTTAAGGACCATACCAGTGTTTTTGCATGACTTCTTTTCCCCCCAATCAGTGGCAAATAGCAGATATTTTATGTTACCACAAAACTATTTAGCTTTTATATTTAAGTGTGACGAGCTACTCGCTGAAGCTTGAATTTTTCTTTAGATACATACTGCAGTAAAAATCCAGCACAGAGAGCAGAAACTGTGTAATAAATCTAATCTCATTTTTATGTCTGCAAAGGTTTTATGAAATGTGTTTACAGCAGGATTACTCAAAAGGTAATGAATAGATTTGCAAGCACTCATTTTTACACCTGTGTTGATCCAGGAAGTTTTTCTGGAAGGGTTCTTTACTATTCTGAGGCCAAAATGGGCATGAAAATTACTCCAGGACTATTAGCTGTGCTTTTCAGACATGGGCTCAATTGGACATTACTGTGTAATCCAACCTCCCAACTAATGTCCGATTCAAATGCATCAGAAATGCATTTTCTCACATGCACCTCAACCGAATAGTGTCTAGAAAAGTTTAGGGCTGTAGTGTATGTCTGAAATTGTCTTTATAAACAAAGCGGGAGGGCTAATAGTTTCAAACTGAGGAAGTTATGTGTACCAAAATGCACAAACTGCCCGAATGGCTACCAAAACATAAAAAGAAGACACTCAGATTATACACACACAGAAGGAGTGTGATTTCATTCTCAGCAAAAGATTATTCTTTAAGTGCTAAATATACAGGTAAGAACCTGTAAGGTCACTTGTATGAAGTTGCTGCTCTGGCTGCTTTTGCTGCAGTGGAACTCACTGATTTGTGCTGCTTAATAAACCCCATCTCTCACTTTATGCGAGTCACTTAAACGTGTTTGTTTTTTACAGTACAAAGAGAGATTTTTATTAAAATTTTGATAAGCCAAGAACATATAGTATGGTGTTAGCTACAATAGTGGATGGGAATCATGGGTAATGTTCTGCAGCATGCAAAAACACCGGCATGGCCCTTTACAAAAAATTGATGATCCACCAAAAAATATGAGCATGCACTCATTAACTGGGAGAAACAGATGCATGGCCGTCGCACGACTTTTGACACCACTCCAATGGCTTCACACACTGTCACTGTGCTATCCTGTGAAGCATGCATTAATGAAGAGGGGGGGGGGGGGCTGAGGTCTGCGGGGCGTGAGGTTCCTGTGGTTGGTGAACCCACTGCCAAAGGTCATAGAGGCAAAGTAGGAGGAGGAAGAGGAACTTACATCACGGAGACTAGCAGATTTAGAGTCCCCAAGGAGTTGTTAGTATGACAGTGTGGTTCTGGATCAGAGCACAGAGGACAGGGAGGAGGAGATAAAGCCCAGAGGGGAGGAAAGAGGGAGGGGAGGAGAAGGAGGAAAGATAGAGCGGGAAATGTTAATTGGTAAAAATCAAGCAAAGGGGAAGAGATCAAAGAAAAGTCAGGTATGTCGAAGGCAGAAGGCAGAAATAAGGCGGACCACCCAATAAACACACACACACACAGCTTCACTTAAAACCTGGAACTTCTGAAAGGGGAGGAGGGGGGCAGGCCTAGAGACTGGTTGGCAACCACCTGGCAACCGGTTGCTAGGGAGTGGTTGCCTGCTGTTGTTAGGTGAAGTCGGTTGCAAAGTGGTATACATCAAAAACCTCGTTTCTATTTCTTTAGTTGCTAAGAAAGTCCCCACTCACAAACTACTCACTAAGTGCTCATGAAGAGTGAACATGAAAGCAAGAGTGCAAAGTTAGAACTAGAAACTGAGACCATTTACTTTCAAAGTAAAGGTTGCACCTTTTTCAGCAGCGAGGCACAAGTTTTACTTTGAAGGTGAAAGGTCTCCACAACTTTTCAGGGTTCATTGAAACTTGATGGTTACCTAGCAAGTTGGTGTCTTTAGTGCACATTGTGGGTGAGTCATGGCAATCTGACAAGCAAAGGAATCACAAGGTTTTTGGTGCGGCACCCTCTTTGTGACCAGTTTAACCTACCTACAGCCAGCAGCAAATCTGGAAAGCACAAGAATGCACGGCAACATTTAGGCTGGGAGCACCTTGTTAGTTTGGCAATGTCATGGTTACGGTCCAGCTTCACCACTCGCAGCCCAGAGAGTCAGTTTTATTGCTAACTGTGACTAGAATAGATATTAAAAGCTTACATTTTTAAAAAAAAACTCACAAAATATATTTATTCAAAATAAAGAAAGAGGAATAGAAAAGAAATGTGTGAAATTGAGCATTAAAGAGCAGCCTGGATTACTTCCAAACTGTCCTTAACAGTTAAAACTTTGGGTATAATTAATATGAGCATCTACCAGTACATGGCTGAAAATAAGGAAAAGCATAAAAGGTCCCTTTCAAACTCATAAGCTCCTCAGGTAATTGATTGAAATGGCCACATTTGTGCAACAGTCACCAGCAGCTATGATAAGTAACAGTGGTGAGAGTGAGTAAGCTTTAGCTACACCCAAATTTATCGGGTTCACCAAAGCCACACATTCATATCAGCTTATTTACTGCTACCTTTTATTAATTTCTGAATTATAAGACAAAGGCTGCATTAAGACGAGGTTTGCTCCATACTGCCCGCCACTTCAAGAAATAAAAAGTATTTTCTGTGAGTTTGTTCTTACAAAGCAAACAGAGACACCAAAACGAAATCCACATTCATACCTCTTCTAAAAAATTGACATAACGTGTGGTTACACACCATCGCAATCCATTACTTTCGTGCTATTATCATGCTGTAATCATTATCCACAGAGTCACAGTTTTGTTTCATGAATGATCGCACGCTCCAGTGCCATTCATAAAGTCACATATCAGACTGTAATCTTGCTCCTGCACATCAGTGAACAGCAGCAGGTGAACTCTTGATGTTATTAACCAGCATATGTGCGATTATGTTGCTCCCTGTACACAATTTCAAATATACAACTGGTCTGGGGAACACAGATTTTTTTTTACAGCTGTAATGCAGCATGACCTGCTTTTCATAGGTTTTAATCGGTTTATGGAGAGTCAAATATGAGGCGTGCCGGCAGATACTGTAATTATTTCATTCAGGACATATATTAATTAATTGCACGGGTCAGAGAAATGGGTGGTGAAAACAGCCTGAACCGATTTCATCGAGTGAAGTTAGCGCTTTCCCAGGTTTATTTTGGTACGCGGGGGCGGGGATCCAACTCCCTTAAAAACCGGAGCCACTTAAAATTCTGCTTGAACACTTGATTGGAAGGCGCTGCTAATGATTAATTAAGGAACTGTGTAATAGTGATCCCACTCAGATCGCAGTTGTTAGACCATTTATTTCACTTCTCCACTTATCAGAGATATAAATCAGACTTCAGTCGGGCCTCAGTGATGGTTTAAGCACAGAGGTAAAAGCCACACTACAAGGAAGCCACTGCAGCAGAGATGAAAGTACAGAAGAAGAAACCTTCAAGAGTTTCTACATGCAGCGATAAGAGAAAGTTCAATGTGTTGCAGAGGAGGGTTAAATGTTTTATAACATTACCATTGCATCAGTCAGTGCTTTTGATCTGAGGAAAGAGCATGAACATTTTAGTGATTGTGCACATTTTAAAGGTGAATTCTTGATCATCGTTTGTCTGATTAAACACAGATGTCTTCAGACATTACACGGGAACTCCAAGGCGGTACCATAAGTATCACCGTGTCATAAAACATGGGCCCCACATCACATGAATGATGAAGCGATGAATCCAGTGCATCTGTGTATTTACCTCCATGCATCCTGACTGTCCTCTGTCTGACTCGGTCTGCCTGCTGTTGTCTCTGCCGTGGCTGCTCGGTCCTCCCGCCTGCAGCCTCCTCTCCTCCCTAAAGTTCTGCTCCTGCAGCTTCTTGTTGAGGATGCGGGCTGCGTTTTCAGCCAGCGTGTAGCCCGGCGGGGCCGATAGATCCTGCCGAATGCTCACCACCTCTGGGTTCTTGTCGCCCTGCGTCTCCACTATTAGCTGCACAGGGCTTGGTGAGCGCCCGCGAGCAGGCCGCAGGCATTCCTGCGTGTTCCTGGGGTCTGCAGACAGAGGCCCATGAGCGGGGCTTGGCTCAGTGGTGGAGGGTGGTGTGGGGCGGGAGCGACTTGGGGACTTATTAAATTTCTGAATGGTGTCATAGACCACAGGGGTGTGGTCGATTATGTTGAAGAGGCTGGACAGCCCATCGTTGATGGTAGTGTGCACAGGGCTGTCGCGAGTGGTGGTGGAGCGGGCCCATGCCGACTCGTTGTTCCCTTTCTGGGGCGTTGTGGGCATGGGGGCGCGGCTGTTATTGGGTAGCTCGGTTTTACTGGACGTGGATGGTTTGCGCTGAAGTTTCGGTGAGCCGTACTTTGGGGAGCAGCAGGGTCGCTCGAACTTGCTCTGGACCACAGGAGAGTACTGAACTTTCCTTGTGTTGCGTGATGGGGACGAGATGGGTGTGTTGCCACCTTTCGGGGTGAGGCAGCGGTGGGGGCTGCTGGTCAGGTTCCTCAGCAGGTCTGTCTGCAGACCCACGCTGATGGTTTGGGTGGTCTGAGTCCCTCTTGTGGTGAATCCGTTGGTCTGGCAGGCGGTGTCCCGGACAACAGGCCCCGGTGGAGAGCGGATGGCGTTTCTCACAGAGATGGCCACCTCCTTCATGTCGTCACTCATGTTTCTGGAGAGCTGAAGATCCAGAGAGGATGCATAGCCCACTGTGGGGCAGATAGGAGACTGACTAGGAGAAGTCCGTAGTCCTCCACCCTCCAGAAGGCAAGGCCACCTTGCACTGCTGAACACTTCATCCGGCCCACTGGCACCCACCCCAGCCTCCACTCCTCCCCTTGCTTTGGTCCCCTTTGCATACAGGAAATCGGGATCCTGGGCAGTGGTGTGCTCAGCTGCCCCGGGTCTGGTGGGGCTGTGGAGGATGTGCACCCCGTAGTGCTCCACTCCAACCCCTGCTGCTGCTGCTCCATTGCCTCTCAGCGGGGACTTGTGGCAGTGCTCAGGGCTGCTCAGGGTGCTGGTGGTCAGGGTGGCGCTGGTGGTGAGGAACCAGGAAGCGGGTTGGAATGGACCAGGAACGGCCTCTCCTTCCCGGGCCTCTGTTGATTTGTCTGTCCACACTTCCCGCAACAGTCCCGGACCAGAGGTGGCTGACGGGAAGTCCCAGCCCTTATTGTTGAACTCCTCGATGTACTTGAGATCATCTGGAGACAGAGGCGGGGTGACGTCGTCTTGGCCCTGATCGCCATGACGCGTCTTGTCAGGGAGGAACGGTGAGCTGTCCATTAACCGCTGGAAGTCGCTCATGGAGCACACCGACTTGGCTCTGGACACACGCACACACACACACGCACACACACACACAGAGATCATTAACTACAGCTAAAGTCAAATGTCTCAAACTGATCTTCATAACATCTCCTTTATGTCTGTGTTTTAAAACTTTGTGAATTATTTAACAGCGTAGTGAGCTGGATCTCATCACTGCCATAAAAGAACAATCACCAGTCTCCCCGTCACTACAAGTCACACTTAACAGAATCAGCAGGGCCGATCAGTACATACGAGCAAGAAAGTACTGCAGGAGGCCGGATAATCTGCAGCCAGTCAGACCAGTTATTGGTTAAAAATTTACAGCAGACTTTACAATACTCCAGCTTTTTCAACTCAGTTTAACATAATTCTTTCTCTGGTGGTTACCTGAGCAGACTCCCACCCTCCCTCATCTTGTCTTCTGAGTAAGCAGCAGCATCTTCTCTCTCCGAAATCTCATTTAGGGCCTGAAAGGCAACAGACACAACAGTTAAAACATGTTGAGGGAAGGGGGTTCAGTGCATAACCCTATTTAATCTAAATATTGTGGAATTTTGGCTCACTTGTGCAACACAGTTTAGAGAAGTAAGTGCATCTTCTCCTGGGAACAGACACTAAATTTGTGCTTCTTAGATTTTAATATACTTTTAAATATAACCTCTTAAAATCTAAACTGGTGTTTGTGAATAATGTTTCACACTTCATAGCTAAATGAACTAATAAATATAAAACAATGAAAGAAGAAATGAAACACACGTATTAATGAAGATTACGCTATCAACTAAAATGAAAACATAACATAACTTGTTTTTACCTTTATTTTAGATTCAAATTTACATTAAGATGAATTTTCGTTAGTAACAGCTCAAAATCTAAGGAAGATGTTTTTTCACATAGTGTAGCTATCACACACATGCACAAATTTTCCTTTGTCTCTTCAAAGGTCATATTGAACTCATACAGATGTGCGTTACCTCCTTCATACAGGGAAACCTCTTCTCACTCTCCAGTCTGGAGGGTGGAGGGACCTCCGGTCCACTCATGGGGTCCAGAGACAGTGCGTCCAGGAACAGGTTGTCTGCTGAGCCTTTGAGCCCCATCGCAGCCCCCTGCTCCTCCAGAATGGCCTCGGAGTCAGAGTGGGAACGTGTGGGGGGCATCAGGACAGGTGTAGCCGTACAGGGGGAGCGGGGTGTGTGAGGCGACCGGGGAGCCTGGCAGGGACTGTCCTGAGGTGAAAACATGCCTCTGTAGGATGTGCTGCCATCTTTAACGTCAGAGCCCTCACCTCGCCGAGAGTTAAGTTCCCTCTGCATCTGCATGAAGTACGACACATGTGCTGGATAAGAGTCTGGGAGCTTATTACCTGTAAATGCAGCGAGCGCAGTCATCAAACATAATAAAACTGTAATTACTAAATGTGTCAGGACAATTTTAAACAAATATAAGCGGAATAAATATGCGAAAAAAGTTCGAGTTGTGTCTCTTTCCTGATGCTCCTTTTTCAGACGCACAGTGTTGAGCGTATATTCATGATGTGCTGATCTCATTAATTTTTCTTTTCTTTTTTTATGCAAAAATTAAATTTTTACCACGTGACATATTTTATTAATTAAGAAGCTAAACTAAAAGAACAGCTTGATATTTTGGAAAACACTGGCATGTGCTGAGTGTTCAATGAAGAATGACACAGATCTCATGTGTGCATGCCAAGTTTAAACCAACTGAGGTGCCAAACAGTAACACAGACTGGCAGAACCACAGAGACCAGCCGGCCTAAGTTTGTACAAAGGTATAAAAAAAGCAATCTGACTTTTTACTCTGTATGCTAAGCTAATCAGCTGCTAGTGAAAGTGGCACATTTGCCATAATGAATCTTGAGGTCGATGATTAAGAATTTTAAAAGCTCTACAGCTTTATATCAGATAATATACAAGTTTTTTTCTTTTCATGAGCAGCAAACAGATTTTTATTTGACATCAAGTTCCCTTAAAATTAATTTTGAAGAGTGATCTTTAGACACACCTCTCTGAGACATGAAACATTGCCACTGCGTGGTTTTAACCAAGCTCATCCATTCACCCTACTGGCTCCTTCACAGGTTTAGCACTATAAAGCATGCAAAACCTCTCATGTGGTCCTGCAGTCAAGGGAAGTGTGCAAAAAAAGCTCCCATTTTAAAATGCACAACTTTAGTGCAGAAAGTTGTCCGATCACATGTTAGTGCACTCGGAGTGCTGGACCCGTGCCTGGATACAAGGGAGGGTTTCATCAGAAAGGCTACATCTGTACATGGATGCAGCTTGTCTGTCATTATTAGTTGATAGTACACAGCACTCAACTCTCTCATTAAATCTAGCTCAAAAAAACAAAACAAACAAACAAACAAAAAACAGAAATAAGCCAACCTGGTGATGCTATGATGCCTAAATCGAGGCTCCAAAATGGGAATTCCCATTAAAGTCTATCTATCCTTTAATTTAGCTTCTTCTGCTCCTTTTAGGGGTCACCTCCCTCTCACCCTGTCCTTAGCATCCCTCTGTCACACCAACGCTCCTTACCACCTTCACTACCTCTGCTCCTTGCACATGTACATCTCCATCTGTTCTTCTCATTCACAACCATGTATTCTCTGATCACTCCTCTTCTTTCCAGAACATATCTCCACCTCTCTTTTTTTTAATTTTTTATTATCCATTTCTGTTAAGCAGAGGAGGCTTTTACCACACACGCGCTATATTCTTGTGCTCTGTTACTCCAATGTCACTCGCACAGTAATCCACCTGCAGCACTTGAGGTTAAGCACCTTGTTCCTGGCTTGAAGTTTAAGGAAGAACAGCCACATTACTCATTCACTTTTAGCCTGCCAGTCTGAGCAGTTCAGTGGATGACCTGTGCTTTATAGTTTCCTGCAACATTGCTGAATAATGCATTTCCACCTCCTGCTCTGCATCTCCATTCAGAGGTGCATCAGCAGTTTTTTCCCCCTCTCTGAGCTGGAAAGCGTAAACTATATTCAGAGAGGTGTATTCCTGTCCCCTGGTCTGAATGATAATACGCTCACACACACACATCATATTAATCAGTGTGTAGTTCTACTTCCTGCCCTGAACGCAAAACGCAAAAACGCAAAAAGTGCAATGCTACAGCTCGTCTAATTAAATCGCACAAAGGACATAAATTATTCAGTTATGCTCAATTATTGCATCTACTATAATCGCCCTGAGTCCTTTGTCTGGGTTTCTTTCTCTCATACCTTTATTAAAACACTGATGCAGCAAAAGAAATGCATAAAAAAATCTATTAGCTATAATTTTGTTGATTGTCTCCCCTTAAAACTTTATTTCTAAAAAGTTTTAAATAGCTTTAGTTTTTCCCTCTTTATCTCCGATGTCTCAGGTCTAAGACTCGTGCAAAAGACATTCAGAGCTCACAGAGATTAAATAAAGATTATACGCTGCCATCTTTGCCTAGTCTCCCTCACAAAAGAGGGATATTAGGCAACTCAGATAAACTTTAAGAACTTCTGTCTAGCAGAAATGCCAGGACTCGGATGAATGCAATGATCATAATATAAAAATATGGCAAAATTATTTAAAAAAAAAATTGCTTCATGTTTTCTATGTCAAAGCACAGAAAGCAGTAACGTGACGACGTGCTACAAAAAAAATGATACAAGACCGTCTCTCAAATATGAAGATTTAAAGCTTTTCTCTGTTTTATATCAATGTATAAAAGGAATATTTTGGTTTTTTGCCTGTGAGCAAGAGAAAAGACGTCTATAAAATGGCATTAACTGTGAAAAATGTTTTGGCTATTTGTAAGAGTTAAGAATTGAAATGTCTGAGTTTTCTTTTAACTTACTTACTGGTCAATAAACTGAACTGCTGATCAGTTATCAGGAAAGTTCAATCCCAGAATGAAACCTGCAACTTCTACTGTTGTTTCTTGATAACGTTCAGCAGGAGGAGCTGCTGAAGTTGTCATGGAGCTGTAAATCTTCACATTTATTTTGGGAAATTGTAGTCCAGTTTAAAGTTAATTTCAAACCTTGTAAACAGATGAATCCAATGATTACATTACAGGAAAGACCTCAGATTGAGTCAAATCTTGCCAAATCTTTCCTTCTTTGCCATTATTACCACTACTATTCTGTCTATTTTTACTCCCGCCCTTCTCTCACCCTCTCCATCTTCCGGTGGAGCTCCCGCATACTGCTGTCCCACTCCTGCCGCTCCCTGTCGAAGTGCTCCAGGAGATCGACCCTCTCCCGGTTCCACCTCTTCTCTCCGTGCTGCAGCTTCCAGCGCAGGTCCAGCGACGTGTTGTGGCTCTCGGCAAGCAGACGACGATGCTCCTCGCGCTCCAGCTTCAGGGCCCACTCGGTGTCTGCAGCTGGCTCCCCTTCGCCTCCCTGCGCTTCACCTCGCACCTTACCTTGCTCCTCCTCCTCCAGCTGGTCGAAGATGAGACACAAATATTGAAAAGAGACGATAAATAAAAAACACAGAAAAAGAGAAAATACCAGAGAATAGTAAAAGTCTCTGCAGTGGCAGTTTGCTGTTAACTTTTTGATAGCATTTCTGTTTAATTTGGCTTTAACGTTATTAACATGAAGGCAAAACACTTATTATAACAAAACCATCCTACTGTTTTGTAATTTCTGTGAAAGACTTGCTTTAATTTTAGAGCACAACATTTGTAAATAGAAAGTTTTCAGACAATTAAAAGATCTTCTTCCAAACTTTCTGTCAGTTCAGTAACATACAAACGTGAGTGCAGCCAAGCAGGTCACCAAACCACAAAATAATAAATCAATGTCAAAACAGAACAGAAAAACGAATGAAAAGGCGTTGGCTGAAACAAACGCTCACTCTCACACTACGAATGATCGACACGTGCGGACGAGCCAACAATTAAACGGCTCACTGGGACTGATCGGTGTCATTTTGCAATGCTGAAAATCACAGTGTTATGCCAGCAGCAGCATACGTGTTAGATGAAGATGTAAACAGACGCTGTAGTCTTTAATAAGTAAGAGAAAACTTTTACAATGCAAATTTTGGTTTGAATCCTAATCAACAAAGGAAGAATTTAGGCATGACGTTGGTTCAAAGAGCAGCTTGAAGAAATATGTTCTCAAATAAAAGAGTAGTCGATAAAAACCTTTGGGAAATTTAAGAGAATCAATATCACTTTCAGGCTTCTATTATACATACTTGTAGCCAGAAGACGGTTTGCTTAGCTTAGAATAAAACTGAAAAGATAGGGAATGTAGGTTGATCCTGAGAGCTCAGAGCTCAGTGCATTTCAAATTGGAAAAAAAAAAAAAAACGAAACAAAAGCTAATTAAGAACTCTTTACCACATCTTCCTACAGGACAAAAATAAATAAAATTAAACAAAACAACTGTATTATCATATTTTCAGTGCTTCCTAGAAACATTTTACTCTTGTATGTATCAAAAAAAACTGACGACAGTCTTCTCTAACTTTATATTCCTTGTGTTTTGTCCATTTGCTCGGCCTGTAGCAGTATTCAACAGCCTGTTATCAAAGTTCTGCTGAACTGAGGGTGAAAGTCACCAAACACAGAAGTTAAAAAAAAGGACGAGGCAGAGAGAAAATTAAAAGCAGCAGAAGGCTTTTCACTTTTCTCTCACTGCACTGCGGCTCTGGGTCCTTCTCCAAAGCATTGCTGCTCACTCACCTAATCAACACAACAAAGCAGCACGGTTCTTGTGCCGGTCCAACTCTTCCCACTTTTCACGCTGAACTCTTTATCGTTACACAATTACTGTGCAGACATGCAGGTGAGAATGATCTTCTTTTATAACTTAAGGGCCAAATAAAAGGGTAAAATGGCACGATAAGCGATAAAAACCATCCACTTTATTGCCCAGGTGAGGCTGGAGCCTAACCCAGCTGTCACGGATCGAGAGGTGGGGGTATCCCCCGGACAGGTCACAGGTCTGAGGGGGGTCCAATCAATCAGTCACTCTCACCTTCACACTTACATTCAATTTAGAATTGCTATCTAACCTAAAGTAGCCGGAGAAAACCCACATAGGAACAAGGTGGAACAAGCAAACACCACACCTGGATCTGAACCAAGGACCTTCTTGCTGCTAGGTGACTTTTTCCCAACTTAAAACGAGTTCAAATTAATTAAAATGAATTGAATCTCTGCTGTACACAGCGAAATGGCAAGAGAGGATGACAAAGCGGTTATTCTGCAGCAGGCAGAGACAGTTCAAACCTGAATTTATATGTCTAACCACACAATAGCGGAGAGGGGGGGAGGAAGAAGAAGGGAATCAGACATTCTGCAGATTCTTCAAAGCTGCAGAACAACGAGAGGGAAGCTTCTCTTTCTGCAGAGCGGAGCTTTGTAGTCTTAAGACATGCTTTCATTCCAAGACATAATGGTACAAAGTAGAGTCTGCAGCAGGAGAGTTGTGCACACGGACCTCCTCAAACACGAGCTTCCGTTCTCTCATTCACAAATATTTGCCTTGTAGGCTTTTTATCTGTTTTAAACCTGCCTAATTTGACACCGGAAGAGACGATGAGTACACTTAGAGCTGCTGAACGAATGCTATAAGTCAGACTCTGCGGTATTATTAATACAGGCAGCTCTGTAGGGGCGAGCAGGTGGCCAGACCAGAGCATGAAACAGGAGGCAGCGTAAGCAATAACATAATCACTGGTTATGTCCACAGGTGAGAGCAATTTCCAATTCTACTCTGGTCTACTGGGCTGTATAATAATCCTGAATGAGAAGTATATTTCTAAAGTCCTAATAAGTGAAGCAAGTAAAGAACTCTGCACAGTTATCAGGGCAAATAAGTACATTAGTTCCCACTGTGGCCTTCAGCGACCTCTCCTCTGTGGAAGGATTGAACCGTGTAAGAGATTTACAGATTAAAAGCACAAGAGTTAAAAAGATAATCTTCCTCCTTTGACTCGAGCCTCTTAATTGGTTCCCAAAGCTGCAGTTTCCTTTAAAAAAAAAAAATCAGCTCAGGCTGATAAGAGACACTTCTCCACCCACCAAGGGTTTCAAATTTTTAGCTCTCAGCAAAGTGGTCAGAGAGGACATTCAGGACCCGGTTCGATTCTCAACGGGAAAGAAAGTTTTAGATTTCCCGCGCGGCGACAGCGAGGTACCCACAGAGACGCATGCAAAGAAAACACACTCAGCAAACGCTGCCAAACCAATGTGCTGCTTCTCAGAATAAAGTTGCTGTTTATTTCGCCTCTTAAACGATTTAATTATGTTTGACCTTTAATAACAGTTTTTCTTAGAAACACGCTGTGAACACAATCCTGACACTTCAGTCAGAGAACTGCTTTTCAAAATGACAGATTTGTTGCAGCAGAGTTCACCGCTTCCTTTGAATCTGTTACAACAAAATTTAGGAGTGATTGATGACTAATTATCTCCTCTGAGCCTACAGATGGGAGCTGGGAGGGAATCAAACAACAGGTATCTTAATTAGACCGCCAGACTGTGAGGGGAGTTTTGAAATATGACATCAGAAGAGTAAGCCATCGATCTAGATACGTATACCTCAAACGTTTCCCTTTTTAAACCCTATAAAGTATGAACCATGAAATAATACCCAAAAAATTATAATTTCTTGAAACTTGAGTTTTTACTGAATCTTCTGACAAATGAAAAAGAAAAAAAATATCAGTTTGCAAATATGAGTTTTAATTTAGATCTTTTTTTGCTACAGCCAGCAGTTTTGTGTAATTTATTGCTTAAAAATTTGTTGTGCAATTTGTTCAAGTTTTCCAGGCAAAAGAAAATGACACTGATGCTATAGGGGTCTCAAAACCTCACAAAAACACACAGATTAAAACGATACTCGTGGCTTTAGAGCAGGGGTCCCCAATCCCAGTCCACGAGGGCCGGTGTCCCTGCAGGTTTTAGATGTGTCCTTGTCCCACCACAGCTGATGTCAATGGATAAATAACCCTCTTAACATGTCTTGAAGTTCTCCAGAGGCCTGGTAATGAACTAATCATGTGATTCAGGTGTGTTGACCCAGGGTGAGATCTAAAACCTGCAGGGGCACCGGCCCCCGTGGACTGGGATTGGGGACCCCTGCTTTAGAGGGGTAGGTCCATTACTCGCTCTTTTAGCTTCTGCCCTCCACCAAGTCATAAAGAAAATATGTGGCTCACCAATCAGCTGGTTTTAAAAGTGCTTTTATAACAAACCTTTACATTTTTATAAAACACTAATTACCTCCTCTAAGGAAGTGACTGGTTTAGATCAGGGTTGCCAAACTCGTTTTACATCGTGGGCTACATACGGGCCACTTTGATGTGAAGTGGGTCATATCAGTGAAGCTACATGATAAACGTGTAAAGGTAACAGAAAATGTCCTTGTATTTTTGGGTAGTATGGATTCCACTATAAGATGGGGGTCTTTACTAATGCAAAAAGCTGTTAAAAAATATGAAAATACAGTTAAAAGTTCAAAATCTATGCACTCCATATGTTTTTTAAAGCTGTCCAATGGGCCAAATTTGGAGTTGTTGCTGGGCAGATTCTAGCCCTCGAGCTAAACCAGGAGTGTTAACCATCTATAATCCTCCTAACAGACAGATTTACAAAGACTTTTATCGAAGATTAACTTCTGGAAACAATCTAATTTAATTTTGGAAGAATTATTTATTACTTTATTAGCGAGGTGCAGATTTTATTTTCTATTGGGATGTCTCATTATTCAGCAAATATAAAGTGATAAATGGACTGGTACTGACATGATGCTTTTCTACTCAATTAGTTTGTGAGAAAGCAGTCCAAGTGCTTTCTTACTACGAGCCTTATCCACCCATTCACACGCTAACACACACGATCCCTTCAATATCTCGGCCCAAGGTACTCCGACATGCAGACTGAGGAGGCTTGTGACATTAGCAGACCTGAGCCACATGCGTCTTTGCTATAATCCACACTAGATTTACACTTACAGATTCGCTAATCCACCACAATCTGGCATTAAAATTGTCAGACAGTCTGTTTCAGACAGCATACAGCACTGTGTAAACGGCTTCCTCGTCATTTTATTTATTGCTCTGCCAGACAGCAGCCATGCTATCACACAGGGCTTTGCCAACAACCGTTTTCTTTTTTGAGCCATTTGATTAGCCAAAACTAATCAGATACGTCGATCCGTTACTAAAACTGGTCTTTTTAATAGTTCGTGCTGATGCAGGAAAGCATGCTTTAGCAAATAAAACTACCTGGATGTGTTTGTTATATCAGCAGACTTCAGCATTTATGACACCAACACAAACATCAGGTTACACACAGCCATGTCATTTTTAGATGAGGATGGTATACTTTCAAAGTACAAAGCACTTCTATCTCATTAGGAATATGAATGAGTGCTTTAACAGCTGTTTTCAGTTCTGTGAGATGTGCTCAGAGTCACACTGAACAATTAGGCTCAAAGCTGAATTAATTAGTTTGCGCAAAGACAGATTATATCCATTGTGCAGTGCCAAGAGTGTGATTCATCATTATTTCCTTGGATGCGGTTCTTTTTAAAAATTTAATCGGTGAGGAGAGATTATAAATGTTCGTTTGTTTGTCAGATGTGATATGGTTTAAGACACTATTTAGAGTTATTATTCATTCCAGCGCTTTACTTTCAAAACAGAAAACTGGCCAAAGAGGAGCAGTGAGCTCACAGGTAGAAAAAAGGGAAAACAAAACAGGTTTTCTCTGAGTGCAAAAAGGCAAAAAAAAAAAGCAGATTGTGTCCTGTCCCTTTAAAGGTGGGTGCTGAGACGCCATCTGTACCTGGGCGACATGGCACTTCATCTCTGCCCACTTGACCTCCCAGGCGGCTTTGTCATTGGCGTAGGATTGCTGCAGTTGGCATCGCCGCGCCTCCTCCTCCCGCAGCTCCTCTCGAAACTCCTCCAGCAGCGTCCGCAAGACCTGTAGCACTCGACGTGTCTCGCCGAACTGCACGAACAGGATGTAGACAAAACAATCATCAGAAACACACATTGGGCAAACTGTGAACGAACACACTCAGAATCCTTATCTTGAAAACTGTGATTCGTTCAACCCACGTCCTTTTTTCTCTGAATCACCTCGGGATGAACCTGCTTTGTGAGCGTTTTATAAAATAATTTTTACTTTTCTTCTTGTCTATTCTACTCTATTTTTTTCTATCCTTGTCCTTTTCTTGACCTCGCCGAGTAAAGAGCTGAAAGCTGGGTGAGAATAAAAAACTGTTTAAAATTCCTTCAGAACTTCTGAGCAATGCGCTAATTATGGCTGCAACAAAAACTTTCGTCATCCAGGATCTGGATTCGGATTCGTATGGCTCATGGCTACATGAGCAGCAGCATCCAGTCGAGCACAGGGAAACGAACAGCGGTGCTTGCCTGAGCTGTCTGCTCAGAGAGGTGTTTGCAGAGCTGTTTGCCTCTGGTGGTCCTGCTGTGGAGAGGCTTCAGGTCTTGGCAGGAGGCAGTGAATCACAAAAAGAGTCTGATCACCTCGAGGTGTCAATACAGCGCTGCCGGCTCTGAGAACATAACATGAGCGCAATAGTTGCAAACTATTGTTTGCTTGAGTCTTCTATAGTTCATTTTTTTATTTATGTTTTTAGGGTAAATAATACCAAAACAAAGATAAGAGGAAAAAAGTATCCAAAGACTGAGGCTCTCATTATAAAAGGAATATAAATAGCTGTGCTTTTACCTTTCTAGCATACTCTATATAACAGAAGTCAAACTCATTTTAATTAATGAGCCACAGGCAGCCCAATATGATCCTAAGTGGGCCATGTCAGAGAATTTCTTGCACAGTAAACTCATAATTTTCCCGTTGCTTTTAGTGTAAAACAATAAAAAATTTTCAAATTTAATGAAGAACCCATCTACGGAGTACATGATGAATGATCTGAGAAAATAACCTGACATGTTTTTCCCATATTAGCCCCAGAACTGAATTTAAAACCTTGATCTCGACTCCATCATATTGTTAAGACTTACTAGTATCATATTTTCCCAATAGGGCTCTTCCCTCTCAGCCTGCAGGCTTACTTGTGGTTTCTGGAGTTTCTAAAAGTAGAATGGGAGGAAGAGCCTTCAGCTATCAGGAACAAACTCCCAGTTTGGATTTAGGACACAGATATCCCTCTCTACTTTTAGGATGAGACATAAAAGTTTCCTTTCTGATAACACGTAAAGTTAGTCCCGGAACTGATTCTGAGTCTGATTTAATCAAGGCTGATCAGCTTTTAGTTATGCTGCTATTGGCTTAGCCTGCTGGTGGATTTCCTGTGACTCAGATTCATCGATCATTTATTATCTATTCCCCTCTTTGTGTTCATATCCTTCACAGCTGTTACAGTTTTCATAGTAGTACATTTTCACCCTTCTGACCAGCCACTCCCACCAGTCCTCAGTACATACACCTCCACCTTTGGTAGATTATCTTGATGCCTGACCTTTCAAGCTTTCTGTTTTCTTAACCTTTCCTCATACTTTGGGTTCTGCCTCAGTCTGATCCTCCCTGTGCTCCCCGTCTGCCTGTTTTTGTAACCTTGAACCTGTACTATTGAAGTAAAACTCCCTTTCTGCCTTTACAGCCTGCCTCCTGTTGTGCTTGTAAGGCCACAGGATAAAAACAATCAAGGTTTCACAGGTCTCACATATCTATAACTACAAGAATGAGCAATCACCTTCACTCAGAAGTCGCTATAAAACACAACAAATTCTACAAGTGAGTTTAATATAAAGAATGAGGACCACGGGCCAAGTTTTAAAGAAATGAATCGGCTCCTATGAAGCATTTCTTTACTTTCCCTTAAATATGTAGGTTGTCACAGCACAATGAGCCACTCTACAACATCATCTACCATTGTGATTTAAAGCTAGTATTAAGCTAGCAACAGCAGTGAATTTCTAGCATCAGTCTCAGCATCAACAACCAGAAACAGCGATTAAACCTCGTATGAATGACTGAGGAAAGTGGAGTGAATGGAAGATCCCACCCATGTTTAAACAGCAACACAAAAACCACAATCTGGTTCAAACGTCGTTGCCAAAACCGGTGACGTCAGTATCCGAGTGCTGTGAAGTCAACGGTTAGACGTCAACATTCAGCTGCTGGAAAAACACCACGTTCACAGACTGCTTAGTCTAATTAAAGGAGGAGCTCTCCCTACCAGAAATGTGATGAAAGTTCACAACGACTGCAGAACTTATCTGCCGTATGTAGGCTATTCATATATGCTTAAGCACTTCAATCATATCAGCCAACTGCAGTACCCGAAGGAATGAAGGATTTCTTCATCACCAATCTGCCTACTTTCTTCTCCGGTTGTCACTGAGAACTGAGAATGACCCTTTCACATCTTAAAATAATCTTATGTCACTAATATCTCACTCTGGCTGCAGGACCTATGATCTGTGCTTGCTCTGCTGCACGCGTGCAAATGCTTACTATATCAAGTCTGCATTTCTGCCCTCACGTTAACCTACTATGCACGCTTGTTCATATACTGAAGCTACAATGTCAGATCATTGTACACACCATTTTTGAGATGCTGGGAAAAATCAAAACACGACAAAGTAGAGCACTTAGTGCTGCTTAATAATGCATTCGACCCAAAATGTCTAGCTGCTTTCTTTACTTTAAGGGGGGTCAGCTGAGGTACTGAAAGGAGATTTCATCACATGAAAGATCTAGAAACTCAAAAAAAGGAAGCTCCTTTTGTCTCCTGATGTTTGCATAAACAAGAAGCATAAAACTGGGTTTACCCAAAATAATTACCGTCTCTAACCAGTTATGTAGGTCAAAATTCCCATCTGCATACTGTGCCAAGCAGCTCCAATGAATATCTGCCAAACACTCATTTGCACACAATGAAAGAGTAAAAAAAAAAAAAGGGTATAACTTTTGATGTGTTTTCTTTTTACAGTTACTGAAGTCTCCATTACATCTTACTGTATTCCACTCCGTTTTACTAAACACAGCTTTGAACCTTTTTGTTTGTGTTAGAGCTCACGGTCATTCTGAAAATATAAATTCATTCATCCAGAAAACTGTGCTGAAGAAAGAACAAAGAAACCGTGTTATCATAACTGCACTAAGAATGATGGAGCTTGAAACAAATAGTAGTAGAACTGCAGCCAAAGCCCTTTTTTCATTCAGTAATACCATCGTACAGTCATCGTGCCTCAAACTTGACATCCTATCCAAGTTTATTACATTTCTGACGCACGCTGTGCTCGTATTATACTCATAAGGTTGCCAAATTCATGCTTTTGAACACAGTAAGTGAGAGTCATTATGTGAGGGACCATTAACAAGCTTTTGCTCTTTAAAGTGCCCAGAAAGACTCCACCAGACGAATGACTCAATTTCAGATCTTTGCCCTAAACGTGCAACAGAAAAAGACGATCTTATCCACACGGATTAAAATGGCAATAAATTAAAACATTACTGGGGCTCAGTTTGGGAGAATTTGCAATGAGTGTCGGATTCAAGATGGGAAGAGGTTCTAACTGGATAGAGATCAGGGCACACTGTGGTCATGAAGGGATGGACATGATACTCAGGTCAACTCAGTGGAGCTGCTGTAAGAGCGCTGTACCTGTCTTTGGTGCTGCAGGTGACGGTCAGGTGATGGCAGAGGGATGATGGGTGTGGTGTCGGGGACGTCCCCTGGAGTCTGTGGTAAACACAGTCTGTCGTCTCGGTCTGACTCCCCCTCCGCCTGCTCCATGATCACTCCCAACTCTGGGAAGCCCTCCAACTTCTCAAACTGGAACAGATGATAGAGCAACAAAAAGCCATGTTTTCATTCGTGCCCTTAGTTTGTGGGTTTTTTTGTTGTGTACCAACACATTCTGTTTCAGGCTCACAATCACTGAGCCTTTCCCAGCATGCAACAGACAGAAGCTAGTGACACACCCAAGTCTTTCACCAACACATCTGAGCTATCTAATACGAACAACAAGTCCTGCTCAAAATCCATACTCGTGAGTTTAAACCACACAAGTATTCAGTCTGGGTTATTTTGGAGGAAATGAACTCACACTTAAGTTATGCAAAAATTATTATTATTTTTTCCCTTTTTTGACAGCTGGATAATCTGCTCCTTCACCCATTTAATTCCTTAATTTTCCACCTGAAAAACATCCTCGAAATTCAGTCAGTCAAAGCTTCACAACTTTAAGCCCTCAAATGAAAATCTCTGGGCTCCAAGGATAAGAGACACTCGGGAGAATTTTGAAACACAATAAGTCGCCGTCTCCTTATCACCAGGTGACAGTGAGGCAAAACTCCAACGAAAAAAGGAAAAAAGGCATTTTTAATAAATGGGAGCTCTGTAATGCCGCAGATACCGATGTTATTGAACTTGTTCCAAAAAGTCTCGGCTGTAACTCTAATAAATTTGATGCAACAGATAGAAAGCAAAACAAATGATCGAGCGTGGTGTAATGCTCGTCCTATATCGTTGCATGCATGTCAGCAAAGACATACGTCTGACCGAGGTCAGCAGTGAAGGGAATCATGGAGAACATTTGCAGAAGGAACAGCGTGCACTTACAGATCTTTCCGTATTTGAGGCATTGGACTGTACACACTTAAAATGACAATGCCCCTGCACGATTAAGAGGCGGATAGAGTGCTTGCTGCTTTGTGCTTTAGACGTTACATATCACAGCCTTCTCAGTGTGACTTGTACAGAAGTGTAGTATGGCCTTCCCTGTCAGTTAGAGGAGCTCAGTGCTCTTTATGCTTTCTGTTCCAGGGAAACAGCCTAGAGGCAAAAATCATTCATTCAGGTCTATGGAGTGCATCAATCAGAAGATCCTTAAAAAACCCAAAAGAAACAAGCAAAAGAAATCCAAAATATTTAAATGTTTCTCGACACTCTGACAGAAAAAACACAGCAGAAGCAACTGAAGCTGACTCATTTGATTTCTTCATGTGTTATACTTATACCATATTACTGCTTTTAAAATTATATTTAATGCTCTTTAATGCTATTTAAACCTTTTATGGTTCACACTACACCCTGCATTCACCAATCAGGGCAAACTGAGGTTCACCGTCTTGCTAGAGGACACTCATTCCTTGGCTTATCCAGCCTGCAGGTGGATGTTCTGATTGAAGGCTGACCCCATCCAGGATTTACAGTTGTGTAAAACTTGCCCAAAGTAAAGTAACCTTATTCACAACTACACCATCTTCTATTGGTGGTGCAAATTTGAGTGTATTTATTATTCTTACTAGGATGGCTTTTGTTTCAAGTGTCCTGACACAGGACAATGTGCAAATGAGAATGTTCTCAATACAGAATCGTGAATAAATGAAGTTACTTGAATTTGAGTAGATTAATTATTCTCTCCACGTGATTGGAGAGTTTTCCTCTCCGATCATGTTTAGCGTCAATAAACTGAAGTTATTCTAAGAACAAAGCCAGCGCAATCTCAAACACATGGTCTCAGCAGCCTTGAGCCTTTGCAGACTAAACACCAAAATAAGTTCAGCAGCTCTTTCTTTTTTCAACCTTTTTTTGTTTTTTAAAGGTGAGAAGCATCAATTTGCTTTACGGTTTCTGAATCTAAGGACTGTGAAGCTCTTTGAGGGTATTATGATGATTAAAGGATATAAAAAAATCAAGTTTAATTGAGATTTAAGGTCAAGGTAAGATAAGGACGATGTAAACACACAGAAAGAAACCTGCTGGTAACTCGCTGCTCCACCATCTGTACACAAATTAGGCTTCGATGAGTCAGGATAGAAAAAACGAGGGATTTAGAAACAGCAGCACAGAATTATGCAAAAACAGCTCATTCGAAGAAAGAAAATAAATTGTCCATCAGGAGAAAATTAAAGGAAAAGAAGTTATCGCTGCTGGCTGCGGTGCATAGAGTAATCCAGTGAGTGTATTCATCTAAGAAAAACAAAACTAAACACATGAATCTTATAAATTAGGAGTTTAATCAACCAGGGGCAGGAGAAGATAACAAGGAAAACATCGACCGCTGAATCAACAAGGTGAGCAACTAATGGAGTCGCTCAATCAGCCGGCCAACCAATTAACCATCGCAGGTGGGACGTACACACCAGTAAGAGGCACGGGGCTGGAAGTGAATCAGGATGAGTCACTTGTTTGTTGTCGTTTTCCTCGTGTTGTTCCTAATGATTGACTTAAACCACAACCCACCTTATCTGCAGCATTTTTAAGGGATTTGGGTTACTCCGACAGCATATCTGCACTGAACTACAGCTTCCTGGAACTTTATTTATTATTCAGTATATCCACGGTTACCTTTAATTCTCACTGGATGATGAGAGTAATGGAATGAATCCAAAATGCTGACTTCTGTGCACCAGATGATCTTCATGGATGATGCAAAAGGTAAAACCAACAACTGTTTCTGGATTCTGTGCAAAGTCCCCCACAAGAGAGTGAAGCGAAAAATATTGAAAAATTCATCAGACTCAGCTGGCTGCGGGGCAAAAGTTAAAAAAAAAGAAGAAAAACTTTATTTTCCTGCTTTAACTCTTTGATCCTTTCCCTTTCATTCCCTAATTATTATTTTTTTAACAATTATTTCTTTGCTTCATCATCACTTGTGTCTGGTTTCTGGTGCAATGAAGAGTCAAAGTGCTCAAAAAATGAATAGAATCATTTCATCGATAAAAGCTTAAGTAAAAAGTAAGTCCACAAAACCCCTGTCGGACTCACCTCTGGGTGCACCGCGTCGTCTCCAGAGTCTTCCTTGCGTCCGAGCCTCCAGTGCATAAGGATCCACCTGAGCTTCATGTAGATGATGATGATGTTGCGTCTATAGAGGCGGACCTCTTGTTGCAGCATGGCTCTCTCCTGAGCCCAGGGCACCTCGTGAGTCTGAAGGCCCTGCAGCTCCAGACCCTCACGCTGGGCCTCCAGACGTAAACGCTCATCATCCTGCTGCAAAAAAACCTCCATTCATATAGTGAAATAAACAAAACAGATCAAATACATACATATATATAAAATCTTTGTTTATTTGGATTCGACCTTCCACTAATATCTTTGTTTTTGTACTCCAGCATGCTAAAACGTATGTTTTATTTTATGGTATTGTAAAATGAACCTGAGAAACTGTCACTAGTCGTCTTTTCCAGTGTGAAGTTTTTCTTTAGTGTGTCGTCAAATATGAGGCTTTGCAAGAATGCTTTACAGCACTGAAAAACCTGAATAATTTTTCACATTTTAACCAGCCAATCCACAAACTTGTTTTTAAAAGAAAATGTATTATGTGCCAGATTATGGATCCCGATTCATTTTGATGGTAATAAAGAGGCCAGTGAAAACTTCAAGTTTTTATGTTCAATAGTTTTTGAGATCTGTGTGTGTGTGTGTTGGAAATTTTTCAAAAACTATATCTTAAAAAGTATCTGATATATAAAGCTAAAATTTATATGTAAATTGGTGACAGTTGAGCAGAAAATGGTCAGAAATTTGATGATTTGGAATCAAATTACCCAAGAGACAGTTGGGGATGAATCATAAAGTACCAAGAATACAAAACATAAGAAAAAAAGACAAAATTATGAACAAAAACAAATTTTGTTGCAAAGCTAAGTAGAATTAAACTCAAACTTGAATCAAATGAAGAGCAGTTTCATTGATAACGCATACTGAAGACTGTATCACATCAGTGTTGGTCTAAAACTATTCAATCAATCAATAAAAATACTGAAACTTTCTTTCCCATCAGATGGTGTCGTGCACTTAAAATTCTGCTCAGCCAGCAAAGATAGAAAACCCAGCAAAGAGTGATGCCGCTGCTCCTGCGCTCATTCTCTGAAGGCGTTCAGACTGAATAACCGTACCTGAGGCAGAGAAGCGACGGCCTCCCGTTCCTCCGTTGCCGCCCTCATCCTTCGCTCGTGATCCAGACGAAACTGGATGTCAGAAGCAGGCGTGTCCCGGAGCTGAACCCACAACAGCACAGCAAACAATTATTTAACCATATCCCTGGATAAATTTACACACATACCGATGTCTCACGATCGGTCTTGAAGCTATAATTGAAAGTCAAACAGGGATTTGTGGGCGAGATTATTCTACTTGATCATATTTATAATTTTCAATCCACTGCAAAATAAAAACTCACCAAGGAAGATGAGGGGGAAAAAAAACCCCTCAAATGAGATCCGAGTTTTGTGCAAGCAAAAACCCCATTAAAGCTTCTTCAGCAGCATCTCGAGAAATGATTAGGATTTAATGCTGCTCATTTCAGGCTGGACTGTTTCTTTATTTAGCAGCATCAAAGCTTTATGATCAAATTTCAAGCACTGGACTTTTTCATTTTTTTGTGAATTACCAAAGAGTTGCTTCACGTCTAATCGGGCAGGTGTAGAATGATTTCTATCTCCAAAATAAATCTTTCTAAACATGCGAAAATTGTTAATGCACTAATAAATGGAGAATTTGCAGTTGAACTGATTCTTTTGTGTAAAAGTTTTCTGAAAGCGCATCTTTAAATATGAAAATGAGTTAATATCCAATTAAATATTAACTAACTTGCAAAAATTACCAAGTGATAAAGTGCATTAAAATAATTAAAATGCTGGAAAAAAATGTGGTGCTAAAAAAATTAAAGCTAAAATATTACATGCCAACTGCAAAAGGAATTGGCAAAATTTGTTTAACTACAAGTGAGATAAAAATGCTCTTAGGGAAATGATATGTCCATGTTTATGGTTTTGAATGTGATGATTTGTCTTCGGTCTTCAGCTCTTTCATAAGACATCCGCATCCTTCCCTCTAAAAATACCCCAAACTGCAGACTGACAATTTGGAAATTGCAGCAATTTATAATGCGATTTCTCTTCTCTATCCTTTGCTGGGACTATACTGTACCCTCCAACAGCGAGTTGAGCTGTTCAGCGTGTACTGACCCTGGATCGCCTCCCTGTCAGCCCAATGTCAAATGCAAATCACACAGGCCAACAGTGCACTGCTAATCCTGCCATATCCAAGCTGCTTTCCCCATTCATTCACTGCACCTCGCAGATTATACTGCAGCAGAGAGCGCGGGGATAAAAAGAAATCCACACGAATGTGCTATAACTGTAACTGTAATAGTTGTGTGTCACATCGCTGTCGCTGCTGCCAGTGCTCTGCATTACATAACAACCGGCAATTTCTCTATGAGCACAAACATGAGGCAGCGATTATGAATCACGGTGTCCTGCGATTACACAGCCAGTTTATTAATCAGCCGAGTCACCGAACGAGCTACCAGATCTGAGATGATGTGTGCTGGTAGCGCTCAGGTCTTTGATCTTCTGTGTGTGTGAGGGGAGGGGTGTGAGTATTGTGGTTCCCCTGTGTCAGCTGCACTTTTACATACATTAAATATGCTGAATCACGAAAGTAATACTGGTAGTGATGAACCAGAGCCAGAGGGCATCGTTGCAGAGTGCACTGCCTGCAGATTCAGCTATAATACACTAAATACACACACAGGCCTAACAGGTCATCCTAATGTACTGCAGTTGTACACGGCTGCTGTTTAAAAGAGCAACAAACTGCCCGCCCGCATATGCATACAGGATCAGCAAATCTGCTGCAATGAATGAGCAAAATGTTTTCAAGCTCCTTTGAACTTTTATCGGTAATCAAACCTACTTCCAGGGGTGATACAAATTTTCAAAGAAAGACGAAAATGTGAAACCAAAGGAGAAATAAAATAAATTGAACATCAGTAGCCGTGGGAGTGGATTTTAGTGTGGAAGTAGAGCGAGTGGATGAAGTGACATCGTGTTCATCAAGAAGTGACCGTGGCTGGAGTGTCACTAGACATGCTGGACTTAGAGGCCTTCTGGACAGTTCAAATTTAACCCACTGTCATTTACAATCAGCCAAATTTGGAGTGTATTTGGATGTAATGTAAGATGCCTTTGTTAGGGATCAACATAACTTGTGCTTTTTTTCTTTAATTTATAAGTAATCTGTGAAATCGAACGTTACATTTGACCTGTACCTGTACCTAAGTGTTCAACTTGCGTCAACTCCAAAAATCAACTCCAAACTGTAAACCCCTGACTATCACCAAACAATGTCACAGGTGTAACAGAACAGATATCATCAGCTGGCATGCACAGATCACTTCCATTTCAAAGGTAAGCTCCGCACTCATTGTATCTTAAATACTTGTGTCAGGTTAGCGCTAGAAAAATCTGGAGATAGAGAGCTGCAACTCTCAGGAGAGGAAATAAAATATGTAAATAGGATGTCTCAAAGCTTTGCACATATCAATATGTTGAGATCTAAATGTTTGAGTTAGTTTTGGAGTTGCTGTTTGGAGTTTACATTCATCCTGCAGAGCTGCACTTGACAGTTATTCACCCTGCGGAGCATTTGAATCAGTTGGCGATGGAGTAATATAAAAACAGTGTTCAGGTCAAGAAAAAAGAAAAAGAAAAACTGTCCAGATTTATGGTTCAGACTTAGCAGAAGGGAGATGGAGGAGGCACTGACCTCTACTTTTAAAGCCAGGGGCCTGTGGTACCTAGTGAGTCCAGTGGCTCCCCTGCTCTGGGCCTGGCCCCCACCCTGGCTCTGGGGCTCCACGCCTCGCTCCTGTCCTAGACGCCACTCCAGCTCATCCCTCTGACCGGACTGTGAGTGTCGTGGGGTGGGGAGAGGGAAGGAGAGGGAAGGGAGGGGAAAGGGGGTGGGGGGTAGTGTGGATGGTGGGTGTAAGGGATTAGGGAGATGGGTGACAGGTGCGGGATACGGGGTGCAGGTGGTGGTGATGGTGGTGGTATTGGAGAGGGAAAGATGTGTGAGGTGGGTTGTGGACAACAAAGACAGAAGACACCAAACAGTGTGAGGGGGACGAGAAAGCGGGCAGAGAAAAACAAAAACAGAAAATGGGTAAAGAAGATAAGCCGAGGGGGGGGGTAATAATCAACTAACAGACTACACGATGTGGAGAAGAACAAACGGACTACAGTACGAAGAAGAGCGCAAAGAGGAAGACCAACTTAAAGATGACGGCGTATGAGAGAGATGAGAAGAGAACGAGAATGAGGATGAACAAAATCATGGGCTGAAACATCTGGCGGGAACACAAAGAGGAACAAAGAGAGGGAATCGGGGAGGAAAAGAATGCAAAACACTTGTTATGAAGCGCATGCAATGAGGGATACATGAGTCCAAACCAACAGCTGAGAGATACCGCGCCAAACTGCAGAGCTAGCACGCTAAAGGTTTTCAACACATGCCCGTGCACAGCCGTGTGTGTCGTAGAAGCAGTAAACTAAAGGGAAGTTGCATCTTGAGCCTGTATGATGCACATTGTTTTCAGACAGTACAGCATTGAAAATACACTGAAGTCATTGGAGGCTTCGGTCAAGCTTTTGAAGCAACATGCTAGTTGCCTCCTTTGTAGCAGTGCTCACACGTTTCTTTGAGTGTAATATTGCTACTAGCAAGCAGTTAAGTCATCATACCAAAGAGGTAAGGTAATTATCAAAGAAAAAAAAACAATGGTAAGTTTATATGCTACAACAGAGCGACTTTTATTGTTTCCACCTTGTGAGTCCGTGTCGTCTTTCGAAAATTTAGCATTGCCAACGAAACTTTAGCAGGAAATCCCCCGAATGCAGCTTTGGGAATTTTGTCATGCGTGTTTGTCTGTTTGGGTTTTGTCAATGCAAAAATGCAGCAACATTGTAAATTGTTGTTCCCAAAAGTTTAATAAATAGGTAGCTGGGGTCAAAAGATAGATGGGATCCATTTTATGATTACTGAATAAGGGGCACCAGGGGGCCCATGGTCCTTTTCCCTCTTTACGCCTCTGTCACAGAGTCTCTCTCTGTTAATGCATTTTATTCTATATATCAAATAAGTTTAGAGAATATTTAACATTTAATATTTTAAATGGCTGCAGTGTGAGATATAATTGGTGTTACAGCTGTTGCAATCCTAATGCAGGATGTGCTCTAATTTCTTATAGTTTTTCTTTCTATATCTTGCAATGTTGACAATATTTTCCATGAGTGTTTGAGAATCATTCAGAAACTATCTTCTAAGTTAAGAACAACTTCTTCAGAGCCTCATAAATAAGTATATGAGGTTTTTGTCATTATTACAAGAATATATTCAAACTAAGCTGTTGTTTTTATTATAACATTTTAATATCATAAAACTCCCATAATCACAAAACCTGCATTTTTCATTTTAAGTGTTTTGCTCTCAATATAATTGAGGTTTCATTATCACAGTGTTATTACAAAATTTCAGTAGTGCCGAGCCATTTTTGGAATTTGGAAATCACGTTAATAAAAATATTTTCAAATAGATAAATTGTCATAATTATAACTGAGAGAAATCTGAGAATGAGAAAATACCGAGATGGTTAGTTATAATGTAGGGAAAAAAATCAGTGTTTTTAAGGGTGAATTTATACATATGAATGTTTTAATTGAGAACACGTCTTAAATTGTATAATTCATTAAATATGCTTCTTATTGACACAACATACTTAGTCATGAAGAGACGTTTTAATGATAATTTTCAGGTAGAATTACAAAAAAATTACAAAATAATTACATGAAAATGCCTATTTTTACTCCTTTCTGAATGCACTTTTATAAAGAGCTTCATATTTAAATTTACTACACACACATTAACTACATTAATTACATTCTGAAGCTTAATCCACCTTCAGCAGCTCTCAGTGCTTGAAGGCTTTTTTTCTTTTCTTTTTTTGGAACAAGTCAAGGTTGTTAGTTCAGCGGTTAGCTTTAACTAACCCACCCAGCTTCACCCAGACTAACAAGTGAATCCTACAGGCAGAGGAGCAAAGCAGAAACAAGTCCTTGGACAGAATGAGTATGGAGGCAGCTTCACTCTATTATCTCTACAAAGCACACTGGGTTCTTCAAGGGAGAGATGTTTAAAGAGCTGATTGTTTTATTCCATACGACAGTCTGGCTAATTAGAAATGACATCCAAGATGTCGGCCTGATCATGCAGCACAGGAATAATGAACCTGCTTTGGTAGAGTACACTGTATGTTGACATGTTGATTTACACTATAAAACAAGGACGCGATAAAACAAGGACAGAAAGCAGGATGCCAGCCAGCGAGGTTCTTCCACAGGCAACTCACACTGCCATGCAACAACGTTTCAGACTCTTTTTTTGGTCTAGCACAGGTTATTTTAGTGAGTGCACGCATTTTTATGGTTCGTCTCCTTGACAACACCATGGAGTATCCAATCCCACGTGTGTCTGTGTATGCGTGATGATATGTTGTGCAAACATAACAGCTACACCATTTTTGTGTCATAATGAGTCACAGTAATGATAGTATCGTGCAGCGGAGCTATAAAGAGAAAAATACCAACTGAACTTCATGCGGCAATTTGTAGTGTCAAGAAAGTCGAGCCAAGTGGAAGAAGCTGCTAAACTCCTTTAGTACTTACTCCATTCACACCAAGCACCCTTTCAAGCACCCTCTTAAGCCAGCCACTCTCCTTTGGCCTTGGCTGACTGAAAGCAGGGCAGCTGCAGACAGTGAGTGCATGGAGAGGGAGGCAGGCAGGCAGGCAGGGCTTCTGGCTATGAGGATGTGCATGAAGATGCAGATGTGAAAGCAGCAGCAACAGCAGCAGCAGGAAGCAATGGTGGTGGCAGTGGGTCTGGGGAGGGGTGGCGGTGGTGCCAGTGTGGTCGAGCTGGGGTGAGTGTGGGGCCTGACGCTGTGTGTTACTAAAGCCCTGGAGGTTTATTAAGGCCCTCAATCTCAATCTTCCTTTAAAGCTTACGGTTCGGATCTTTTCCAGTTTATCTAACCCTTAGCTCAGTTTCCTTGTTGCTGGTTGACCAGTTGAGATGCTTCAAAGCATTTAATTGCCAAACGTCTGTCTGCAACAAGCTCATTCTCTCTTAGGTAACTTTTGATATCTCGTGTTTAATCTAAAGAATCAGAGAGCCTGTTTACACTTTGTTTTAAAATCCATCTTGGGCATTTGTTTATCATGTGCCTCTCAGGTGTTTTATTACTGTCCAAGTCACAAACAGGTTGTCAAGGACGGAGGTCCAATTTAGGGAGCCAAGAGCTGCAGTGTAGTGGTTTACATATTTGCCTAACATTTGCGAAAACTCCCCTCACTCTACTTGTAACAAATCATTCCAGAGTGGTGGTTTATGGTTGTAATTACAATTCTTTTACAGTTTTATATTGTTTATTCATTACCTATGGTATTTATTTACTTACATCAACTGTATTCAGGTACCAAGGATTAGAGTGCTATGACATATAAAACAGAACAGTTCAAATTCTCTTAATCTTGTTTTGAATTGGTGTAGTATGACACGAAGCTCATTATTTCCTATCTTGATGCACCAAGCAAAGGCTGTCATTGGCCTACACTTTGTGAATACTGGCACTAGAGGTTAAAGGTCCCTGTACACCAATCAGGTGCCCAATTTGTGTTGCAAGTCCTAGCATAGAAAATAAAATGCTAAACGAACTGTTCCAACTATTGAAATTAGCGGGGAACCTAATTTCTGCCTTGGAAAATGTTGAAGGACGCATTAGAATTAATACGCCAATAGATTTGTGGCCTAGCCAAAACACAAAAGCTATCATATCACAAAGCGTCTCATCTACATCTACACTGGTACTAACCACTGCCCACTTATGATCTGACCTTCCAAGACATATTTCAAAACTAAATGTAAACAGGCCGGAGGATTCAATGATACTGAAAATCAACAAGATAAATACCCAAAGATAGCAGATGAAGGCTTTTGCTTTCCCTACCTCCCGTTTACTACCATTATATACCTGCACTAACCCAAACCACACTACAAAAATATAACATCCATTACTCACTCTATGCAAAAAGCTTCAGGAATCAACGTTATCAAATTTAGTCTGTACTGGGTCTTCGTAAGACATTTTTTCAACCAGTTAAAAGTACTCAAATAGTACTTTAATGCAATTAGAGAGAGACACTGTTTCCCCAAATTGGACACTATAGTCCCCCTAGTTAGTATATAAACTATATATACACTGTACATAGTTTACTAGGCAGACACGTGATGCACTGTATGAATGTTGACAGGGTTTAACAAGAGAGAACTCTGACCACAACTGTCATCTAGCGTCATGTCTTGTGAATGTTTGCAACTTGTCGAGCTTCACATAAGAATTAATATTAAATTCTTCTATGGTGAAGGAAACAATTTAACACACAAATACTAAACAATGACTAGCTGGCACTGTCATCTCCTTTCTGAAACCCCACATGTCCTCGGTTTGTCTGATAAATATTTGAAGATTCTCTCTTTTTCCAAATATGCAACCGTGGCGACCAACGCGAGAGTTCCACACAAAGCTTTATGCCGGTCATGAGTACTAGCCACGTACTTTTAGAGCACTTCATGCAGTCTCACTTGTCAGTATGAACATACTTATGCACCCAAGATAGTGAATGTAAAAGTGTCTTCTCTACGACCCGTCCTGTGTGGTACGCTGGTGGCAGCTCATTTAGCCTTGAGCCGAGAATATGAAGCAGCCACAGCGGCAGCAGAACTCCCCAAAGTTTTCATGCGCAGTTTCATAAGCAGATTTTTACACAGAACAGGAACTTTTCCTACATTTTACCCCTCATTTCTTACATTGGAGTTGAAAGATTATATTGGGCCTTCACTCTCAAAAGATGAGCCGCCAATTAGAGCTGCACCTTTAATTAGAGATGTTTTTTCTGCCGACTTGGACTCTCATTTAGTTTATTTTGACCATAAATGTGTACTAATGAATGCACACTTAGGGACGTTTAACTCAAACCTAAATGAATTCTCACATTTACAATATACCACTGGGTATACTCGTATCCATCTTAATTTTGCCTGCTAGTTAAAGTCATTTTTTGGACAATTTAATGTTTCCTACTGCTTTTCAAGTTAACGAAGCCTTGATATCTGCTTCTCATAAGCTTAATATTGTCTGGAGTAATCAGGAGATTTAATGCTAATTGATGTTCTTATTCACAATTTTTATAGAACACGAGACATTTTTCTTTTTGGACAAACAAAAGTGAAAAAGAACATCTCTGTGTACCAAAACATGTCACCTTACAGTACAGAAAGGCATTGAAAAGGTCAGAAGAAGGCTATCCATTGAACTTACCTGGAAGTCGGTCACCAGGTCTCTGCCAAACGTGCCAATGGGAGAGTCACGAGACATGGAGGTGACGGTGGACAGGAAGCTGCTGGACTCTGTGAGGTTTGGCATGGGTGACAGATCATCTGTCCTTTCTCTCAGCCCCTCCCCTACGTGGTCCAGCTTCTCCACAAAGATGTGCAGCTCAGTGCGGAAAGCCTTCATGCGGGTGTTAATGGTGTCCAGGACTTGAGTGTCTGGTTTGGATCCAGAGGCTGCCCCGCCTTCGAGGCTCTCTCCTGTCGTCACCAGGAGCCTGCCCTCAAAGATCAGGCTGTCAGTGTCCGTGATCAAACGGTCCACTGTCTTCCCGAGCCTTTCTGCCTCTCGCTTTACATTAGCGAATGACTCCCGCTCTTCCCTTCTACGATTGGCCAGTTCAGTGGCACTGAGCTCGCTGCCATCTGATGGTTTGATGCTTCCAAACCCCGAGGTGGTCGCTGTTTTCTCAAACAGATCTTCAGAGTCACTCTCACCTCCAATAGGTCCTTCTCTCTTCGGTTGGAGGAGGAGAAGTCGCCCTGCTTCCTCATCCTCCGCAGCTTCTCGCCGGCCCGCATCACTCTCCGCATCGCTGTCTCGAGGGCTGCCGGTTCGCAGGCCCAAGTGTGCAGCCAGGTCACAGCGCTGGACATTAGACATGAGGACACGGTTCTCATATTGCAGCTTCATCACCTTTCCGCTCAGCTCGTTGATCTGCATCCTGGCTGATTTAAGCTCCTCCATCAACATCCCACTACTGGAGCCATTACCCGTGCCCCCGTTCCCGGGTTTAAACAGTACCCCCTCACTGCCTTCTTCACCAACGGCCCCAGAGGTGCTGCTTGGACCAAATTTGAAGCGATTGAGTTCAGACGTAAGCTGCCTATTGTGGTCCTCAATCTCTGAGATGGAGCGGCGCAACAGCTCAGCCTCCTCCTCGACAAACTGGAGATGGCGACGAAGCTCACTGGCCGACTCCAGCGCATCGCCGCCATATGGAGACGAGGGCATGCTGGAGAAAGGCTCGCGCCCAAAGCAGTCTCTTTCATACTGACAGCGAATGTCTTCATTCTCCGCTCTTAAGCTGCGGTTCTCCACCTCCAGCTCCACAATCTTTCTGCCCAGAATGTTAGCCTCCTCCTCCACCAGCTTGAGACGCAATCGTAGCTCGGCTTCTCGAGTGGTGTGAGGGCCGCCGCCAGAGCACTCCGCCAGGGGAAGGGGACTGTCCACGTCCCCGTAAACTGATTTGTACTTTTGCAGCTCCTGCTCAAGTTCATCCTTTTCACGGCCGAGCTTGGCCATCTTTTTCCTCATGAGGCCGGACTCCTCTTTGGCAAACTGCAGCTGGCACCTGAGGTCCGCACTGTCCTCCTAATGAAATAAAAATGACAGTAAAGCTGCTGTCGTCTCATACTTTTGTTATTGTCTAAAAACATCCAATAAAAGTTCCAATCCAGTACAAGAGCAATTTTTTCCTACTATAACAGAGCATTTTATTTTTATTCGTGTTGTATAGTATGTTATTCTATTTCATCTTATTCTATTCTATTGCGGTTTTCGTAACTTTTACTGCCTTCAAATGGACGTATGACTACAAAATGTACCAAAATGACTAAACACAGACTGAAAAAAAGGTTGGAAATCACTGCGATATACATAATTTAGCCCAGAAGGCAACAGTACATTTATTGAACTGGATAAAAGCAGTAAGTGGGCTACAGTAAATGTTCTGCCGAAGGCTCAGCTTAAATGTTGCAGCCTGGTTGTTTTCCTGTTATCTTCACTTACGGTTTCTCATTTTAAACTTTTGACTTCACACTTATTTTTCTATTTTCTTTCCTCTTGTTGTGATTTCTTTGTTTCCGCCTTCAGGATGTGTTTTTTTCTTTAATTTTATCAAAGCTGCTTTTCTCTTTAAATCTGCTAATCCACGCCTGTAAAGGGTTGAAAAAAGTGCCTTATTCTCTTTCTGCAGAGTGAGTAACACTGACATCTTTTTCTTATTTACCTGACTTGTGGATTTTTTGTCTTTAAATGTTTCCCTGCTACCTCGTCGCCTCAGTGCAGTCTGTAAAAGAGCAAAACAGAAGAAACGCCTCATCAGAAACAAACTTCTTCACTGCTGCACAAAAGGAAAGAAATTTTTAAAACATGCCAACATTAAAGCAGAGTGATAAAGACATAAGAAGGCTATTAGGGAGGATCTCTGCAGCTCTATTGATATTTCCATAAATCACGATGCCAGTGTTTATATAGACAATCATGATGATGGCGTTTGCTAATGTGTATGCCAACTCCCTAATGTGAAGAAGACTCTGGAAAAAAGAAGCGCATTAATCTATCTGCATGTGTTATATAACATTGGCATCATCAGGTCAAAGCTAGATCTAATAAGGAAGTGTTTACTTTAGATCACATTGCACATCATGACATAATTACTGTCAGAGACTGTCCTGGTAATAGCCTGGATCCAAGGCTAACATCTGGCTAGCATGTCACTCTTTCTGTGGTTGAATGGAGCGGCAGATTGAACAGACAATATATATGATTTATATGAATAAACTAAAATGCCCCTTGAGACGATTCTGCTTTTTATTCAACTCAGAAAACTTGAGAATTCAGATAAGGCGGTTTAATGTCTGTCATGTCTGGTAATGTATGATGCACCAGGGTGCTTTAGATCCCATTCATAGCTCAGTGTGACAGACGTCTTATCCCGGCTCAGATTCAGTGACACATGGTGCATCCACGACGCTCGGAGGGGAAAGCATCTGCCCGTCCAGTGGGGAAATCTGTCCTGTAGCTAATACAACAGTAGGCATCGCACGCAAAGCCTGGATAAAACAGGGCCTTCTACACGCCAGCTTAGTCTTACTGACTAATAAAATCATTCATTTTTTATCAAGTCACTTTCTTACATCAGCTACAGCTCTATCAGACTGGGACAAGATAAATTATCACAGAGAGGGGGAAAGGGAGAGGGGGGAGGAGAAGCGAGAGAGAGAAAGGGAGGAAGAAATCCCCGTCTATAAATGCAGAGCCTTTTCCAGGAGCAGACTGCTGCCCCGGCAGGGTTATTTAAAGGTTTGATGATCAGTTGGGCTACGGATGGCTTCCTTTCTGGGAAGCATAACTTGATATTAATATTTCTGATGTCACAGTCATAATCACACATCTCTGTGTAGGTTCTTGTCATCCAGGTCATGGTAGTCTAAGGAGCTCGGAAAGAAAGCGATTTCTCGGATGAGAGGTGAAACGTCTTCATGGTTTTTTTTAAACCAACTCGAGCATCTTAAAGTCTCTCATCAAATAGATTATTACATATTTCGAATATGTTCCAGGACTATTGTGTCAGCGGAGGTGTACGTATGTGTATATTTGAGCCTGTATGTATACTTTTAACCGTGTGCGGATTAGAGAAAATCCAAAATAAATTCAAAAGTTGTGCACCCGTATCTTATTTTCAAGTCAAGTCATCTTTATTTAGCACATTTAAAAGACATCAAGTGTCTCGCAAAGTGCTGAAGTGCTAAACATCTTTAATTTTAAAGTAATTAAAGGTGTTTAAAAGACGATTAAAGCCCACGATAGTCATGCTCCAGATTTTTGACCTTTTGACCACAACTGTAAATGTGACATGTTGTCACAACAATTTTAACACTCCTTAGTCTTCAGAAAGGCACATATTGTATATATACATTATATAGTGCCAATTGTCTGATATAAACCACTGCAGGTCACTGATGAAAAATACTGCACTGGGGTCGAGCTAAGCAGCAGCACAGTCACTCACTGCAGTCGACTGCATCAAGAGTTTTTAAGCATATTGCTTCCTCTTATTCATTTTTTGGGAAAACTGTTTTTGCTTTACTCTGATTGCAAGCTTGAGTGAGATGGTCTGTTAGTTCCACTCATCCACTGCTGATCAAAATCCAACCTTTAGTGGTTTGAAGCACCAAAGCTTGCAAACCATTGCATTAACCTAAAATTAACCAATCGCATATTCATGTCGAATCACGTAGCAGAGATTGAAAGGTGCACGAGGGATGTTCACTGGTGGGATGAACATGTCATTTGAATTGAACGAAACTGATTTTTTTGTCCTGCCCACCAAAGATGTGCAATAGCTCAATGAGCAGAATCAGTGTTGGCTACTCCTCTTTCAGCACACACTCACTCACTCTCATTTCACTTGGCATACAGCAGATTCTTCCCTGCAGACGCTCTGTTGCCATCCTAAACAGACCAGAAGGACAGTGTGAATCATTCATGGCCAGACGGATGGAAAGTGTGAGGGAGAACCTGTTTTGCCCAGAGCAAGAACGGACCTTGACTCAGTCGCTGGCTCGGCGACAGGAAGGGAGCGCCCGCTTAGAAACGGTGGCGCAAAAATGAGCATAACCAAACTGCAGGCGGCAACGGTTACAGAGAGACGTCTGTGTCTGCTGCTTTCTGTGACAAATTTGAATGAAAATACTGTTTTGATTTGAAACTTTATTTTATTTTATAAGGTTTGCGTGCAGAGAAGTTCAAGCGGGGCACAGATGAGACACATTTCTCTGTTGCTGCTCAAAAGAGCTTTATAGTTTTGTTTCATTTCCTAACTGCTGTACTATTCCCTTTATCAACATGTTTCTTTATCTGCTCCCGTTGCTCTCTCCACAGTCTCAGTCCATTTTGACCTCCGAGCTGCTGTTCTCCAAAAAAACAAACATTTTCTCTATAGGCTGAGTAACCTTGGCCTGCTGCCTTTACAAGATCTGATTGTTTGATTGAACTGTGGCACCAACTGTCTGGGTTTCCCTCGGAAAAAAGACAGATTTCTTAAATTTGTCCCTAAATTTAATTTGTCAAACTGATTTTTTTAGACACTGGAAAAAGCTAAATGTCAAAATGACTGAAGATGACAGTTTGCCCTTGAAAGAAACTACACCTCTTCTGATCTTTCCCTACAACCAGACCTCAATATTTCTCAGAAATCCTTTTTCTTTAAATACAACAATTACTGACAGATTCATAGTTTACTTTATTTATTGATCAGCTGCATCAAAATTGTGCATCTGCACCCCCACAGCCCCTCGGGTCTCACTTCAGCTTTGTTTTCAGGGTCTCTCCAACACCAGCCGTGGTTTAATTCCCCACCCTGGTGACGGGGCTAATCTCTCTGGGGAGACAGCGGATTAGACAGCATCTTGTACAAAGCTCCTCAGACTGCCATTGTCAGGGATCCCCGTTTATTCTACACACAAGCCAATGTGAGAGTCAGAGAAACAACAACGTGATCAAGTAACTCAAAGACACTCATCTGCGATTCGCTTGCAAATATAACTGCACAAACAGACCTTATATTACTTACATTAACAGTGAGTAGTCATTTAAACGTCAGATATCTGTATGGCATTGTTATTCTTCTAATCTAATGACGAAAACTGAAGTAACAGGGTTTGGTTTTTTTTGAGCTGTTAGTTTTTTGGCTTCAAGTGGGTCATAGAAGCGGGAAACTTCAGGGCTGAAAGAAGACAACACTGAAGTACAACTTTAGAGCATAAATAAACATTTTTCGTTAATTCTTTCCTTCATGAAAACTATAAAGGTTGATTTCCTTCTAATAAAATACCCATTTGAATTTTATTACAGCTTAAATTTTGAATTATTAAAGGCATGGCTGTTTTTACTGGCAGGTAGGTTCCCACTAGGCAGGTAGCTGACCTCTTGGCTATAACTGTTGTTTTATTGTAGTTATCTGACACTGCGAGCCATGCTCATAGACACAGAAGTTTGGTGAATTAAATTGTAATATTTTATTTATATGTTGCTTCAAAGCCATCAGCAGGTATCAGTATCGATGCATTGCATCTGTATAGTTTATAGGAGCAGTTTGTTAACCAAGTGTCCTATAAATGAAGGCCATTTTCAATCCCATTTCTAACTTTAACTGATAACTTGGCACTCCACTCATGGCTCCATAAATCCGACGCTACAATTGACAAATTGATGTTGCTTCTTCTGAAATTACCAAATCCTCAAAATAACGCCAGTGCAGCTATTGATATGTTTTTGTAGTCACTTTAAAATTCGAGCGTGCAAAAACTTTGTGTTAAAAAAAAAAAATAATCGTGTTAAAACTCATATCACAGATCTGTACGTGGACAGGGCAATTTTATGGTGTGTGGAGACCTTTTGAACTGAGATTCAGGTGTGTTATGCAAATAATCACTAATAAAGCTTCAAGCTGCGGAGGTCTGGCAAACACTTCTTTCTCCACACCTGCTGATTTCAAACTTTAATCACAACCCGTCACCAGATAATATCCCGACCACACTACAGCAGCACGCTAACTCAAAGTTCCCTGCTGAAATTTTCCAGTTATTAAGGATCAATAACATGAAATGAACAACAATACTTCTCCAAGATAGTTAAACTCCTCCACCTGAGGCAGTAATCATTCCCCACCTGGTGTGGGATACGTGGATCGGCACAGACCAAATATTTAGCTCCAATAATCACCACGTCGTAATTCCATAATGGAAATAATTATCTGCACCTCTAAAAGACCTTTTACTGCTCCCTGATAGTGTGAATGACTGTTGCTCTACTTTTTAAAATTTGATTCAACCACTGAGATTAATTGTGCCTCCTGAAAGCTCTGCCACACTTTCACATCCTCTGTGTGATTGCTTTTCTTCCACTTCAACACACATTCGTCCTCCTGCACGCTCAAAAGCACAAACATGCACACAGGTTCCCCCATCATCATCATCATCATCATCATCCACGTGTGGTGCTCTGAACAGCTCGGGTTAGTGAGAGTCAGTCATGCAGTCACGCAGGAGCAGCATGCAGTCTGGCAGGCAGATCCAGCTGGTGTGAGAACTGGCTGCATTACTGGTGCTGCTGGTTTTTACTTGGACCTCTGCCAGCCTGCAGGATTAGCAGATTGTAGTTACACAGTCGTTACTCTGGTGGGACCGAGTGAAGCAGTCGCTGCAGGCCCTGACTGACTGACTGCCACTCTGTATTTCACTGGCCTTCTCATGTACCTCCCTCCTGGACTCCCTAATCCCGTTT